CCACTTGCGTGGCCTTGGCCTGGGCCTCCGCACGGCATCTCCATAGTGCATCGCCTCCTCGAGGTGCTTGGCAAGGTCCTTTCTCTTGGAGTTCAGATCCTTTACCAAGCCCTCAAGTTGGATGCTTGTACTCAAGGCCTGAGCCACGTAGGCGACATTTGCAGCCACCAAGTCCTCAGCTATGCACGAGGCGGTGTGGTCTCTCCATTCCTCGGTCCAGTATTTGCTGTGGACTACCGCCACCACATTTGTTTCTGGAGAAAGGGCCTCCAACACTTTCCTCATCGGCTCCTCCGGGTTTGTGCCCAAAAAGTCGATCTCCTTAGAGGGACGGGGCCTCTTCCTCTTTTGCTGCTCGGCACTTGAGCAATTGGCACGGCAGAAAGTGGTGTTGTAGCCGGGGCAGTGGCAACCTCAGATAGGGTAGGCCTCTTCTCCGAAATGGTCACCTCGATTGGAATTGTGGTTTGCCTTAGAGCAGGGGGTGGCCTCGCCATAATTGGGCATTTTGGAGGGGCGAGGCTCTTCTTGCCCTTCCTCCGAAGGTCAGCCTCTGGGTCCTCAGGTACCTCCTCCTCCGTCGGAGGTTGAAGCCTCTTACTGTCTTCCACCAAATCCTCTATTTGCTTTTTGTAAGAAAAGAAGGAGGCCTTCAATGCCCGTGCCTCTGCCATCATCTTCTGGATGGTCTTAAAGTCGGGGCGCACTAACATTTTCTTATTAAAGTTGTCTGCAAAGAACGAATGATGAATTAGTACAAGTTCTGAGAGTTCAGAATAAAGGGTAAAGACTTCGGTCCAGTTACCTTGGGATGCCATTAGGTCATGAGTAATGAAGTGAATGTTCTTTCGGATCAGCCTATGGTAAAACCTCTTCTTTTGAGGCAGCTGATAAATGATGCAGATGGTTTCGAAGTCCTCGGATGACAGCTCGCACCGAGAAAGAGCACCTACAAAGGAAGTATAAATATTAGGCACAATTCGAACCGAATAGAAATATAAGGAAAAACAACTACTATACTCACTAAGTGTTGAATACTTCATCGGGACCGTAAGAGACGCCCGGGGGTCCCCCTCCATCGTGTCCCATCACCCTGCGGCCTAGCACCACGAGCTCTTCCATTCTTTGATGGAGCTCGGTAGATCGAGCACGAATGGAGTGTGGGAACCCCATGAAGTAAGGTAGTACCACCCTCGGGTCTTATCCTCCCTCCCCCCTCCCCCCCTCCCGGTAGTTACCTTAGGTATGTAAAGGGTCTGGAAGACGGAGAGGGGCATCTCCACCCCTAATGACGCCTCTTTCCACAACATCCAGGAGCCCACCATTTGGCTCCAGGAGTTCGAATTGAGTTGCGTCGGGGCTAGCCCATAGGATCTAAGCACCATTTTAAAGAATGGGTGAACTAGCAGCCTAAGTTCGGCCCTAAGGATCGCCTCGCTAATGGCCACATAGCCCAGCCTAGGGTAGCAGGCCCTCTCTTCCGGCCCGGGAAGGATCAAATCTATGCTATCGGGGATCCTATACTCTGCCCTAAGTCTCCCCAGGTCGGCCTCTCTTAATTTGGATGGGTAGTTCGACACCCCTCCCAGTGCACAGAAGTATCTTCTGGGCTATCCGGTCGCTTCCATATGTTTTCCCCCTATTATCGCCTCGGCTATTTCTGAGGAGGTCGCCACAATGGGCTCGTCCATCCTCACTAGTTCTAACCCCCTCCCCGAACCAGAACTCCCCTCCGAGGCCCTTTTTTCAGAATTTAAAAGTCCTAAAAGGTACTGAAACTTACGAGTTTAAAGGTTTTCCTGGCCAAGAATGGTGTAAGGTCGTTGGAGGTTCAATTTTCTCGTTGGAATTGCTTAGAAAACGCCAAAAATGGCCAATAACTTGAGAGCAAAATATAATGTTTGTTTCGCAAGGGTAGAAAGCTTGAGAAAAGCTCAGAGTCTACCTTTTATAGAAAGACAAATCCGATCTCCACCGTTGAATTCAAATGCGATCAATCTAAACTGTTCGTCACATCTTCAATCTAAGCCGTTGAAATGAAACGCCAGATTTGATCTACGCCCAAGATGTCGCTGTGACCTTCACACTCGCTTAAAATGTGTCACCTCGATCACAACCAGCTGTCAATAATAATAAGTAGCTGCAGCAGCCTTTTAGAAGAATAGGCATGGCACCCAACTGTCATCTTGAAAATACGCAACAGTTGTCAAATCATTTGACGTTTGAATCGACCGGGATTGAGCTCCTCACCCAACTTTACAAAGCTTGGATGCGCCTGACACGAAGTCCCCTGTGGGTCATCGCCTCAGACGTTGCGTTCCCTCCCAAGCTTTATAAAGTTTTAGCCATCTCCCAATGCGTCGACCCCGTGGGTCAGCCCACCGGTGGCAGATGAGCTCCTCACCCAACTTTACAAAGCTTGGATGCGCCTGACACGAAGTCCCCTGTGGGTCATCGCCTCAGACGTTGCGTTCCCTCCCAAGCTTTATAAAGTTTTAGCCATCTCCCAATGCGTCGACCCCGTGGGTCAGCCCACCGGTGGCAGATGAGCTCCTCACCCAACTTTACAAAGCTTGGACGCTCCTGACCTAGTCAATCGTCTTACGTTGTTAATATACATTATAAACGACAAAATTTTAGGCACGATAAAATATTAATTGGAATTTGACTTTTTCACCTTCAGCATGCGTTGACTAGAAGTTAGAATAATACTATTAGGTGAGATTAGAGTACCAATTTAAATGATTATTGTTGATATGTTTAATTATATGAATTATGTGAAATTGCATTTAAATAAATTAGTTATTTGATGATAGATGGTTGCTATTTAAATTAGTGCTCGACATTTGTGATGCTGAATAACGTTTAACGACACAAGTTTATAATGTTATGTGTCGCTATAAAAGTTAAGTTGTAGAGTCTAATCATTACCACTATGTGAAGTCAGTGCATATGTCGGCTTCCAAACAAAATTTCATTAAGGATAATTTAGGAATTTCACACTTATAATTTCGATTTTTCCTAATTTCTCTTATAAATGGAACAAAATAATCAGTGTTTTGAATTATCATTAAAGAGAGATGTTAGAAAATATACGTTATACGATTTTTCTCTTATAATTTTCTTTTTATCATATTGAACATTGCAGCAATAGCTGAGGACATAATCTCATATTGAAGTGAACTTTTATAATTCTTATGTGTTTTTATGTGCTCCTTTTTTTTTTCTTTTCCCTTTCTTTTTTTTTTTGTACGATTTTATTGCCTTCATAGTATAGAGTTAGAGCTTCTAATTTTCAATATTAAAAAATTAAAAACATCTCCAAAGACTCTAAACGTGTGATTTTCTTGGTTTTATAGAGTCGAAACTTGAAATTATGTTTTAAAAAAACTCCATTATAACCTTTTAAAATAGAAAATGAGTTTCATTTTCTACATTTATATAGTCAAATTAACTTTCTATTATGTATTCTTTTCGCCCCATAAAGATGGACTTTCTTTTCTTTTTCACCTCACAAATTATGTGGCTCTTTCTTCATTGAGAGTATAATTGATTTAAGTTTCCAAAATATTCCCATTTAATGTGTTTTGTTATCAATAAATATGAATTGTTCCTATTTAAATCATTATTTAATGTAGAACTAAATTAGGAAATATTTAAGAAAATTAATGGACGGAAAATATAGTGATTGACATCAATCCTTTGATCTAAAAAATATGATTAACCTTAGGCCCTGTTTGATGGTCATTATTTGGTAAAAACAAAGTTTTGAATTGTGATTTTTTAAAAACGTGCAGTTAAAAAGTAGGAAAAATTTTGAATTTACGTGTAAAATATTTTATTGTGTGAATGTGTGGTTGAAATTTGAAAATAATTACCTACACACGAGGACATCTACTTTAGGCACCAAGAAAACCATTTCTAAGAAAAAGAACGGTGACAATTGAGTCTTTGGTGGTAAAGCTAACTACCAGAAATAATAACAATAATGATAAAGGTGTGGAATCTTGCTGATTAGTTGTGCAATCTTAAATGCAAATTAGAGGTGTAATACACATAAAACTCTAGTACAACCTAAAAGGAAAGTCCACATTTGTTTGGCACAATTTAATCATACATCCTTTAAATAAAATAATTTTACATATTAACCCATAATTTTTTTTTTAATTTTTTAATCACATATTTTAAAATAAAATAATTTTTAATTATAATAATCTCTCTTAAAAAAATATTCAAGTTAAATTACTGAGAAGTGTTATATGTACAAGTTACACATCAACTTGTATAGTCCTTTCATATATAGAGAGTGAGATCCGTGAATAAAATAATTGCGGGTCTCATACATGTGAGAAGGCTGTAATTTTTACAGCTTTCAAATGCTATACAAATATCTTTTTCCCAAATTATTTTGGGCTTGGTTGGGAGATTTGGCTTGCATCCCTATAGATTAGATTTAGCCCTTGTTTAAGTCCCATTTTTTGGGAAGAATGAATTTTTAAATAGTGTATTGATGAAAAATGTATGGTTAAAAAATAAAAAAAAAAGTTTTAAATTTGCGTGTAATATTATTTTATTAAAAAATATGTGATTGAAATGATATCAAAACACTGTTGAAAAATGAATTTTTTCAAAAGAATGGATTTCAAACAAGGGATAAATGCCAGGACGTTGGATAGGAGACTTTTGACTTTAGCGTCTCAAGAATTAGGACGGCAGTGAAGTTGAAATTGAGGTTGAATATATACAGCAATTGGAATCGTCAACGAAAAATAAACTATATAAATCCATTTATGATGACAGCAATGAGCTCACCTTTGAATTTGGTGACGGCGACAGCTTGAAGACTACCCCACCTTGTGCATAATCAATTGTGTAATACTATGTAACATATTTGATATTCAGGAACCATTTAATTAACAACAGGTCATTGTCACATTGCTCAACCAATAAAAATATTATAGATGCTATGAGTATCACCTGTTCTACGTAGCGTTATTCTAATGGTTTGGACTCATTTTTTTTTGTTTCTTTTACTTGTTTGAATAAGTTCTAATTGAATCCCACAAGTCTTTAAAAGGCACACGGGTTTTTCAAGATCACCATTAGAATCAACCTCTGACATATCATACATTTGTGAAGAAAGAAAGCACAGAAAGCTTGGGGAGCGAGAGTTAAGGAGGTAAATTTTCAACAGCTTTTCTTCTTAGAAAAAGTTCCTTGGTTTGTTACAGTTAGATTTCTTGGCAATTTTCTCTGAGTTATGAAGAATGGAAATGATGTGCTTTTCTTTGTTAAAAATCCATGAGAAGATGAATAATTTATGTTCTATTGTTCTTGACTATCAGCAATGGAGAATATCAGAGCTCCCTTCAGAGGTATCGAAAAGGATATTCGAGGCAGACTATCTTGTTATAAACAAGATTGGAAGGCTGGAATTCGTTCAGGATTTGGGTACATCGTCTCTCCGGATGAAACAATCTTTAGAATGAAGGAACAGAAAAAAAATGAAATTATAATAGGAGTTCTTTAGATGAAAAATCTAACAAACTCCTGTTTCCTAATGTATCAGAATATTGGCTCCAACTACATATATCTTTTTCGCCTCAGCTCTTCCTGTGATTGCATTTGGAGAGCAAATAAGCAGAGAAACTGGTACACTTTTTAACTTGTGTTTTGGCTTCTGATCAGCTGCCAAAGTGGTTATGATAACACAAAACAAATATATATATATATATATATATATATATATATATA